TACCTGCTAAAATGAAAAGAAGGATGAGAAGTAAAGGAAAATCGAACCTATAATTTATAGGAACCCCATATCCTTAGCAAGCTGCGGATTTTATCCAAGGAATGGAGTGATTCACGGAGAGATTTATGCCCTCGAATGGATCCTGCATTAAAGGACGCATCTCCAAGAATATTTGGAAAGAAAGGAAAGTTGCAAATATTTCCATAAATAAAAAGGGCCGAAGCCCATTACGAGTTTTCTAAAAAAAAAAAAAAGAGAGAAAAGTGAGGAAGTTAAAGAACATTTATGGGAGAGGCTCAGGAACAGACTCCTTCATCGCCGGTTTAGATTCCGAAGTGGACGCCTTGTTCGTGGCATCCACTTCGAAACGATCTCGAACGCGTTTCCGGCAGTTGCTGGCCTCCTCCTCCAAGTCCCCTTCCTCTTCACTATCGCAGACAGGGGCGTTCACGGGACCCGGGACTCCTCTAGCGCGGAGATACATCCGAAGCATCTTCGGGATCTCAGCAACGGAGTCAAAGTTCCGCCACTCCCATTGAAAGGGATCGCTCTCCAGGGCCCGTATCTTCCTTTCCACCCGGGCGATGCGAGCCTCGAGCGTCTGCTTTTTGAGTCCCAGCCGCTGCCTCTCTTCACACAAGCAACGGTGCTTGTCGACGACCTAGCATAAAAATGAGTGAATAAGGCAAAACGAAAAAGTTTTTAAGTCAAAAAAAAAAAAAAAAACTTCACCTTGTCGATGAAGTCGCAGGCCTCTTTCTTCTCCTTTGAAGGGAAGTGAAAGACGGCGTGAGGAAAAAGAACGCCAGCCGGTTCAAATCCGTCGCCGGACAAGAAAAGTGGGCTGCCGGGAGCGATGGGGGCTACTTCTTCGTTTTCCATTCTTAAAATATTTCTCAAGCGAGATTCTATAGTCATGTTTAATAAAGCCTAGAGGTAAGTAAGCCTTTATTTATAATGATTTAGGGTTTGTCTTGGAACCACAAATCCATTAATGGTAGCGTTTCCGAGTGGGTTAAACCATTTTTGGAAAATCGAGAAAAGGCAATTATTACATTAAAAGACGAGCCGTTCTCTTTAAGAAGGGAAAAAGCAACCGTCACATCAACTGCAAAAGTTTCTAAGGCCCAAGCCCAACAAGTTTACCGAGTTGACTAAACCCGAAGTGGGGAACTCGCTTTAAGCCGAGCTCAGCTCTCGCATTTTAAAGAGAAAGGTCTGATCAGCCTAAAAATCTCGAAAGCATTGCCACAAGGCCACAAAAGGTTAAGAGCGGACTTTGCAAACCCGCATATAATTTTAACCAAACTCCCTTGGGCCACAACCTAGAAAGGTTTAAAAGCCTCCTCAGGCAAATATCTTGTTCGAAAGAAACAATAAAGCCTCCTTAGGCCAAAATAAATTAAGTCTTAAAAATAAAGGGACAATCCCCAATTTAAAGTGGACACAGCCACTACGGAGCAGCAGCCACCTCGGAATCCGGCTCGACAGTCGAAGCTTCATTCGCGTCCTTGGCAGCTGCTTGATCAGATGAAGCTCCTTGACCACCCTCCGCGGTACAACCAACCTCCGGAGTGACCTCCGATACTGTAGGAGCTACGGGCGGGACAACGTCCTCCGCCTCACTTGAGCCTAGGAATAATAATTCCAGTCAGTCAAAGGTGCAAGAAAAGGAAAGGTAATAAATATCAGGAGCCAAGCATTACCTGCCCAATCTAAACCCGATTCACTGATAGGAGGTGATTCAGTAAAGAATGCCTCGAAGTCAAGCGGGTTGAAGACCGAAGTGGGAAGAGCTGCTAAGCGACTCCGTTTTTCAGAAAGGTTAGTCGACAGCTCGGTCCTTTCTTGCTCCTCGGAGAAATCAGCTTCATGGATTTGGTCCAGCAGAATCAAGTTGCTTTCGTGCTCCTTGATGTCTGACTCCAAGTCCGACCTAGCTTTCTCGGTTTGCATGAAGCGAATGGCCCCTTGGATCAATTCCATCCCGCGTCCCTTAACTTCCTTTCTGGCCTTCGATGCCGACCTTGCCAACTCAGAATCACGCAACTTGGCTAGCGCCTTGTACTTCGCGTCAAGCTCAATAAGTTGGTTGTTCAGGGTGTCGGCGGTTGATTCGGATTCGTGAAGTCTACCCTGAACACCAGACAGTTCGTCTTGGAGTTTGTAATTCCGGTCATAATAGTCTTGCAGTTCCCCCTTTACCTGCGCCAACTCCGACGTCAACCTATCGACCTTATCCTCCAGATCGTGCTTAGAGCCATCAGAAGAGTTGAGGTCAGCCTCAAGAGCTGAGAATTTCTTCTTCCACATGTCAATCTCCTTCTCCCGTCCGATGACCAACCCTTCGTAATGTTCGATCATGTCGTTAAATTCGCTCTGGGCCTGGCATTATACATGAACCAAGGATGGTGAGCCAGTTCGCAGAATGGCAATGCAAAAAAAAAAAAAAAAAAACGGAACTAACCCGAGATGAGTGGTAAGCGTGAAGCAAATAGCGTTCACGAATTGCAGGGCGCCATTTGTTGAAATCTGGCAAGATCGAACCCGAACGGGTCTTGAAGCATCGGAAGACGCTGCCTTCTGTCTCCATAGCTGCGAGGAAGGAAGAATTGTAAAAATTGGAATTTTAATAAAGACAAAAAGTTGAAGTATGTAAATCACCAAACCTGAAAGTGATTTGACTTGAGGGACAAGAGCAGGTTTTAACCTCGAGGAAGCATCTCGAGATTCAGAGTCTCCCTTTTTCGGAGACGCACTCCGAGCAGTCTTTCCACTATCAGGTTGGGAGGAGGAAGACATATCAACCGGACGTGGAGGACCCATTGGTTCAGGAGGAGGAGATGATCGAGGTGAGCGGTCAGTCCGGGCCCTCGACTTTTCCCTCTACGGAGAAGAATCGCTGCGAGAGGATTTGTCTCTCTTCCGGCGAACCAAGTTCTTAATTGGCTCGTTACTAAAATCATCTCGGGGAGGACGAGGTGAATCACGGCGAGGAGATTGAACCCTCCGAGGAGAACGTGAGTCGCGACGATCGCGACGAGGAGTTAATCTGAAGGAAGCGACAAATCGAGCTCCCTCGGTGCTGCCATCATCAACCAGCAAGGTTCTACTGTAGTCCTTCTTGTCTATAGAAGTCGCGAGGAACTTTTTCTTCTCCTCGCAAGCCTCAGCCATCGGCTTGGAAAGCAACTTACGCTTGGCCGCAAGGGCCCGAGATGACATTCCTTGAGTTGAAGGAGGGGGAGGAATTTGGTGAAGATGACCAGGCGGACTCATCCTGAGTCTGTGGTTAGCTTCCAGGAATCGTTCAAGAGTGAAGGAATTCCAAAAGGTTTCCCCTTCAAGAATTATTTTGAAGAATTCGATGAACTCTTCAGATGGGAGGTTGGAAGCGATGAAAGTTGCGAAATGAAACAACGGTGTTAGTCAATAAAGATAAAGAAACAACCGGGAAAGATACGGGCAACCTAATCACTACCGGGTTTCGCAGACCACTTCGAAGGGAGAAAATCAGCGAGATTTCCAATCGAAGCGGGGGTTTTCTTAATTAGAAACCAAGGATGATGCCAATTTTCATCCTTGTTCGGAAGATGTGAAATGATGTTCCTGTTGGCATTAGGATATGCTGAGAAATATCCCGTTTTCTTCGATGAACTTCTCACGCTCAGAAGCTCATTAAGTTCAGCAACTCCGATAACATAACCGGCCTCCGCCGCGACTGTTATAATTCCAAGAATAGTACGGAGAAGATTGGGGGTTAATTGAGGAAGAGCGATTTCAAGAGCCGCTAGATATAAAATTAGGGCTTCGGGAAGAGGAAAGGTCAGCCCGCAACCCTTGAAATAAATCTCATACACACAGAAGTAACCATCGCGATGGTTCTCTGGAGATTCTGTGGGGGAGGCTATTTGTGCTTCCGCCATAATTTCCGGCGGGATCCGGCAAAGCTCTCTCAATCGCTCGAGGGATTGAAGAGTACAAGTGGACCTATAGTGCGGACCGGCAATGTCACCAGGGCGGGTGCACTCGTCATTACTAGAACGCCTCTCGTCAAAAGACGGAGACTCGGGTCTATCGGAATCAGAAGTCATTGGTAAGAAAGAAAAATTCAAGATCCGGCGAAGAAGGGTTTTGGTGAAGGAACGAAGAGAGAGGTTTTGATTAAAGTACAAAAGTAAAAGAAGAGAGTAATGGTGAAAAGAAGTTACCTCAAGCTAATGATGAAACCGCCTCGGGAGTCGTGTGGGAAGTGGGAAGGTTTTTCCCGTTTTAATAGTAATTAATCAATATACGGTCATAATGATGACAGATGTCACTCGGTTAAAAATGGCTAGTGCCAAAATTAAAGGAGTGATGAGATTTTCGGCGGGAAATCAGAAAGATTCTCGAGCGCAATCTTTGGCCACTTGAGCATTTAAAGTCCTCCGAATTGGAATAACACTTCGAAGAACTTGGGGGGCTAATTGTTGGTGTCGGATCCCGCACCAGAAGTACGAGACCAACCAAAGATTGCCGCGTAATCAGGATAATGGCCCGCAAAGGATGAAGCCCATTGGACCCGTGAGCCGAAGGAACGGTCGAAGTGGTTGTCACCATTTCAAGAATCCGAAGTGACTGCACTGTGACGCGAGTTCGGTATAGAAGACACGGGTAAGTCGGTTCAAGGACAATTGGGCCAAAAGAGGCGAGGCCCATGAAGATCAGAGTCAACTCAAATTCAAGCGTTGAGCCTTAAAGCCGAAGAATCAAAACGGACACATTTAAGAAGAAATAATTGTACTTAATTACTCATTTTAAATGTCGTTTAGCTATGTATAAATATAGAGGCCAATGGCCATGTAAAGGGGATCTTCCTCTAAAGAGAGAAATAATATAGCAATTCTCGTATCAATTTACAAGTTCTTACGTATTCATTTTTTGTCCCTCAAGAATAATCTTTCCCACTTAACAAAATACTTGAGTGTGTAAATCCGACATCCACACTGTGAAGGAAGAACTTGAAACCCATTGACATCCATGGTTTGCAAATGACTAGACGCTGCACCATCATCATTTAGCCTTATCCTTTTCAGAGGTTTAGTTACGTCTTGAGATCCCTCTAAAACATCTAAATTGCCAATAACTTGAAGAACATAAACCTCCGCAACAATCTTGACTTCATTTTTCACAAGAAATCCACCTTCTTTGGCATTAAGTTTGGTAAGGGATATCATTTCTTGATATCCGTGGAGAAAATTTTTGCGATCTAACCAGCACTGTGTTTGTCCTGTAGATCACGAAGAGTCAAAACAAACACATTCATACAAAAATAGAAATCACAACCATACGTAACTTTCGTTTGTCCAAAGCCTTATAGAACTCACCTCGTTGTTGGGAGAGTTTCTCGGAGACTTGATTTACAACAGTTAAGCGATAATTTATGAGTCTATTCCATCCACCATGCAAAGTTTTGAAACCAGCAACAACCAGAAAGAGAGCCAAATAATTAGCATTTTGATACCCCATAAGAAACCTGCAAGCAGAAACACCACCGAAAACAATAGAGATGTTCTCGTAAACCCTAAAATTGGACCCAAAAAAAACATTATATATATAACAAAGTTGTCTTCTTCTTACCATTTGCAGCCACCGAACACGAATTCATCAGAGGAAACTGACTTCGATCCCAAAGATGAGAAATTCTTAATCACCCAAGTGAATTTCTCATTCCCCATTGAAGAACGATAACCAAACTATCAAAGCTTGAAGGCGACCAACGAAACCCTATAACCCTACCGTCACTGGCACTGTTGTGTCGACCAGTTTTGCGTCGCTGGTCTTCTTCATTTATTGGTTATGAGCTTCGGCCCAATGTACCACTTCGGCCTAGTTTAACATAAGTTTTGTGGTTGGTTTGGAAATACAGTATTCTACATACATGTTTTACAAAATTTAAAGTCATTCCTATTTTATGGTATTTAGAATATTAAAATCTACTAAATTCAAAATACATAATCTATATTTTATTCTTTGTTCTACGAACTTTAGAATACACTTTCTAACATCTATCCATATTCTAAAAATGTTAGAAAATCAAAAATCGTATTCTTAAGTTTTTCCAATATTCTATAAAAATTAGAAAATACATACATTCTATCTAATTTAGACTTCTTTCTAATAAGAGAAATTAGTAAAATTATGAGCTAGAGGTTCCGTTTGGCAAATATTCCGACCATTTATACGTAGTAACTGATCCATTCACTGACATTGATTGCTTATTATTGTTGTTTTAGTCCTTACTCTTGCTGTGTATACCTCTAACAAAATTGAATCCTTCTGATGGTGATGTGTGCTACAGAGATGGTAAGAGAAATCAAAGCGAGGGAGACAGAGAGAGATAAATTGTTTTGGAGTTATTTGAGAGAAGAGAAAATGATAAAAGCTTAGTGAAGAAGAAGAATAGAGGAACGACGAAATCGAAAAAGTGATGAACCACGGCTCCAAGTAAAAGAAGTAAAAGAATATTGATTTGCCCTATATTTTTGTCCAAGAAAAGTTAAGAAAATATAAAAATTAAATTGATTTAGGAAAATTTTTGTATAGTTTTGTTAGATTTTAAGAAGTTGGGGATGATGGGATTTAAATTCTATTAAAGCATATGTCGCCAATCTTGGTCATAAAATGCATATATGAATAAATATTTAAATATTTGTCCTTTATTTCTAATTTTTTTTTAAAAAAGAATCTCATAAAATTTAAGTGTTAAATTTTATTATCTGGAGAATTTTGGCTAACAATAATCTATAAAGATTATAAATACATGAGCAAATTGGCTGGGAGACAATGGATGAGATGAAAATTAGTTTTTTGATAAATCCATTCATAGCCCAAAACAATGGAAATATTAGCCACTTTTTTTGTACAATTTAACCCTACGTGCCTGACCATTTCGATTTGTATTCGGCCCATTACATGAGACAAAGATGGATTTTGTTGTCGTTTGGGAAAGCGTGTTTTTTGAACTCTGGAAACCTAGATGGTCTATAGATATTATTGTTTTCGTTCGTTTTTCATGACTTTGGCCTTTGGGTGTCTACTTATGTTAATGGCGCTCCATTTTTCTTTTAAAATGTTTCTTTATATCTTCCTCTCTCTTTTATCCTCTTGAATTACCAAGTATGATCGAGTTTTTGGAATTTGTCGTTATTGTCATGCATGTTTCGTAATTGATTGTCATTTATTAATGAGTTATCACGTTTCTTGTTGAACTACAACTACTGGGAGAGGAACTCAAAAAAAGCAACTAGAGGCTGAAACCAAAAATACGATAAGTAGATACATAATTTCGAGTGTGATCAGAAACCGAAACAAATCTACAGCACTTTGACCAATCATTACTCCTCCACTTTCTACTGATGATTAGCACGAATATCTCAAATGCATTATCATCCTCCATAAATTCTCGCACTGCAGTCTTCTTTTGTATACTGTTCAGTATAACAGTGTTAATGGAAATAGCTCCTCTAAATAAAGGAGATTTCATTTTCATATCTAAATTCACCAATATGTATAGTTCTCGTCACCAGTCTCGGATTTGCTACAGACGAAAGAAATTGTTTGATAGTGTTATAATGGTTTTGCCCAAGAAATCGACTACACTATATTACGTGCATAGCAAAATTTTAGACCCTTTTTTTTTTTATAATTCTTTCGAACTTCAAACCCATTTGTTCGTCGTCTTGGATAGAGAACCCTATTGTTTCTTAGCTAAATTTTTTTTTTTGGTAAAAGGTGAAGTATTTATACCATTTTCAATTTTGCGACAGCGAATACAGAGGTAACAAAGAAGAAACGGAAACCAAAAACTACACACT